TACTCACTCCAAGATCCAGGGCAGCCCCTCAAAAGCAGGCCTGGCTACCAGGGTTCTCAGACACCCACTGGAACTCGTGCTTGACCCCAGACACTCTGCAAAACCTCGTAACTGAACGGGTGCAACTCTCCAAGGTGTCCACGAAGGGCTGCAATCAGCCCCAGCAGTTGACACAACCCATGACCCCAGGAACCTGCGGGGGGACGGGCTCCACCCCACGCGCATCATGGCGGCACTGCCACGTGCCCACGGGGCTGCAGCCCAGGACCAGCCGTGGCTCCCTAAAGAGCGGTGAGGCCCAGGCCTGGGAAGCCGCTTGCGAAGCCCGCCCGGGTGCACGAGCCTCCAGAGCCGCAGGGGCCCCTGTGCTGTCTCCTCAAGCCTCCAGAGCCGCAGGGGCCCCTGTGCCATCTCCTCACAGGACGCCAGGTGGTCCCGCAGCAAATCACACCACCTCAGGCTGAGGTGGACCCGCCAGGCTCATCTCGAGATGGAGCAGCGGCTGCAGAGCCAGCCCCACCAACAGACAGAGCGACGGGACGTCCCCAGGATGTGGGGGACGTGGACAGGGAGAAGTGCACACGGGGGAGGAGACCGTCAGCAACGGCCAGCCGTGTGTCGGGGTCACCAGCAACAGACTCGGCCCACCCCAGAAAGGAGGACGGGGAGCGACTAGGGCCGGATCAGCAGCAGCAAACCCACTATGAAGCCACACCTGTGGCTCCACAGAGGGGCAGGTGCAGCTCCTCCTCCTGGGGACGCCGAGGGCACCCCGTGGATTCAACATGCCGATGCCCCTCCTGCACCAGGAACTGATGTGCTGATGCCCCTCCTGCACCAGGAACTGACTTCGTGCTCAGGATTCCTTTTTTGAGTCTAAACACAAATTTACTTCAGTGTGTCCTAGCCCAGTGGGACTCGGGCTGAGGGGAGCCCGCAGGAGTGGGGACGGGGGCCCTCACTGTCTGCTCTGCAGGAACAGGGGCCACCACTCTGCTCATCTTCTCTGACCTGGTCTGCTGCCTTCTGCAGGCATCCATGACTTGAAGGGGGCAAAATCCAAACCCATCAGCTCCTGACAAGTGGATCAAAACTAGTCCGGTATTCTTCGTTTACAAAACATCAAAGGAAAGTAAGTTTTCCATCTTAGCACCTCCTGCGGCCCTGGTCCTAAGCTAACGCTGGCTGTCAGACTCACCTCAGCGACGCACCTTAAGGTGTGGTGCAGCTTGCGGAGTATCAAGGAAAGGGTGGTCCCGCCTCTGCCCCTCTGAAATCCAGGCCACGCCCACTCTGATCCAGGCAAAGAGAATGCAGAGTCAGGGGCAGGAGCCCCGGGCAGAGCCGAGGCCTGGCTCGTGGCCTGTGGGGGTAGCGCTGCCTTTGGCTGCATGTTCAGGCATCCGTGGCCTTGGAGCGCCCTGTTGGCGGGGTTCAGTTAGTCTCAGCAATGAATCAATATTAAGTCACAGAGTTCTAAACACCTCCCAAACTTTTCTTTTTCACAAAGTGAATCCTTTAAAGGAGTTCAGACTTGAAATTGGTTTTTGTCTAGATTTATGTGGTTGGTTTGTCTGCATTTGTTTCAGATTCAACATGTGATAAAAAGAATTCCTTGTTAGACTTACACACAGCAGACCTCACGAGAACTGAAAACTGTTTTTTTCCCCTCACTCTTGGTGCTTTCGCACCAGTTTCTTGATCCTACAGAATTTAAGAGCAGCTCCCACAGACCCCCAGCATCTCATGTCACCTCAGCGCCATGAAGCAAGTGTGCACTCTTGACGCTGGACCCCCGTCACCCCTCCAGTCAGAACACCTTCAGCGGCTCCCAGTCTGTCGCATCTGCAGTGTCTTTGTTCTCCTAACTCACAACTACTTACACCCCTGTGTTTGAGCCACACACACTTCAAAGAGCAAGAAAAATAAACGGACATTTAGCGCACATGCTGCCTCTGTCTATAGAAACTGACGGTGGCCGGGCTCAGGAGGCTGTCCCTTGTCCCCCCCGCCCCCCAAAGGCAGCTGGTGTCAGCAGGCCCCTCTGTGAGGCAGAAGGAAAAAGGACTCGGGCAGGTGTGTTTGCTGTGGAGCTGATACTAACACAAGAGTCGTCAGGGTAAGACTCTCCAGGGCTGACGCTCGTCCCTGAAGAAGAGCCACACCTCTCGCCGCCCTCCACACGGGCAGACACTTCAAGCTCTTGACCTGAAACAGCGTGTCCTTTCTGATCAAGCGGGTGCCAAGCTCCTCAAACCCAAATCGAGGCAGGAGAGCTGGCGAGGGGACCATAACGAGTGCTTTAAATGTCCTGACACCGCTCCAGCGGGCCGGGCTGGCCCAGCCACCCGCAGAGCAGCCTGGCAGCTCGGGCGGCGTCCACGCAGGTCTACCTGGCTCCTGCAGGGCCTGTTTTTTAAACGTACTAGTTGCAAACTTTTAAGAATTTGGGATATTTTGCATAAAGGCTGCATTTCTGATGTGTGAAAACAGACACCTGGCTGACCCGGCGCCTGCATTTCCCACAGTAGCCAGCCAGGTAGTGACGACAGCTGCCGTGTGGCCACAGCTCACACTGGTGAGCGGCTGGCCAGGCACCAGGGCAGGCCTGCGCCTTTGGAAGCACAGAACGGGAAGGAGGTTGTTTCGAGCTAATTAAGGCCACACTCCCCCTGCGTGAGCCAGCCAACGATGAGGAGTCTCTTTACTGGAGGCCTGACTGAGGCTCACATACCCTGTTTCACGACGGACAGAGCCAGCCTCCTGGACCCGCCCACTTCTCTGGAGCAGCATCTGTCAAGGAGCGTCACTGACACAAACTTGCAGGTGCTCCATCCACTGTCCGGTCACCTCTGACCAACCGTGAGGCCATCTCCCCTGACGGAAAGTCACAGCCTGACTCCAAGTTTTGAAAGCTAAATGCTCCCTGCCGTCTGCCCTGCCAGTTTTCTCTTTGTTAAAGAAACATACTAGATGAATATGGGAAATCAAAACAGTAAGACAGTGTTGTAGGAGGTTTTCCCTAAAATGCGAGGAGGGGGCAGGCTGTCAGCAGAGAGCTCAT